ACAACGTGGCAGTAGCTGACGTGTTCTTGCAGACCTCGTGGTTCTGTCCCATTGTATACGTTTGTTACTTTTAGTTATAAACAAATCCATTTACCATAAACGAATTTTTGGCGCGTGATCGACACGCTCCAACTAATTTTCTTATTTCCATTAATTAAAATAATTTAATCACAAATGAACGCCATTTTCTAATTATATTAAAAAAAAAAGGTAAAATTCTTCAAGGAAACAAAATTCTTACTATATATTATTACTTGGATAAATGAATTATTTTTTTACATATGATAATTTAAATTCATTAATTAAATTATTAAATTTGAAGATATACGATAATACAAAATTTTCAATAAAGTTTCAATCTTTATCGAAATTTCGTTCACGAAATTAGCTTTATATTAAGTAATATAATCGCGATTTATCAAAATAAGAAGAACAATTAAAAAAAGAATAACATTGCCTTTTAAAGTATCAATAATTACTAGATTCTAAACAGGATTTGAAAAAAAAAGAGTTTTGAATTTGGATTAAATTCCTGTTAAATATTCTGCCAAAAATTAAATTAATGAGAGATGGGGAATTTCATAGCATAGTAACAGTAGAATTTGATTATCCAGAATAATCACATGGTGGATTAAAACCTGTGTGTGAGATCATCATATGATCATACGGTGGGATGATGTGGATCGTTGATTTGACTGACTTTTTCCGCGATGCATCGAGTTTTGACTCCACTGCCAGAAAACCCCAAAAGTTATTCCACTTTCTGTTCATACGGATGATGGAGGGAGAGAAAGTGGAAGAGGGTTTAACCTTAAAGCAATGATAATAAGACAATGGGCGAAAAGGGGAAAAGGGTTTGCTTAAAATACTCCACAGATTTCTGTTCTTTTGGAAATTGAATTCAATTTCTTCTTCTTCTTCTTCTTCTTCTTTCCCTCTGTATTGGGTCATCGCTATCATTCGCCATTTCTGCAGCTTTGCTTTCAATCAATGGCTTCTATAAGCTATTTGCTCATCTGGGTGTCTGAGAAAAACTGAAGGGGTCGTTGAAAACATTGAACCCACATCGAAAATTTCGAGTTTCTTTCTCTAAACCCCTTTTCTCTCCTTCCCCCATGACCGTGGAGGGTCATTCAGTTGATTCAGCCGGCGATGGTGGCGCCGCCGATCATTTTCCTGTTGGGATGCGGGTTCTGGCTGTCGATGATGATCCCATTTGTCTTAAAGTGCTCGAGCATCTCCTTCGGAAATGCCAATATCATGGTTTGTTTTTGTTCTCATTTCGTGTGTTTCTGTTTGGTTTGATGACTGATATACATGAATGGTATGTTCTTGATCTGTGTTTTTGGGGATTTTTGGTACTGAAATGTTTGAAATGGTGGGTTTGTTTGTTCTCTGTTCTTCCTGCAGTCACCACGACGAAGAGGTCCATTGAGGCTTTGAAGATGTTGAGAGAAAATAGAAACAAAGTGGATTTGGTTATCAGTGATGTGAACATGCCTGATATGGATGGGTTCAAGCTTCTTGAGTTGGTGGGGCTTGAGATGGACCTACCTGTGATCAGTAAGCTTTTTTTATCTCATTGATCACAACATCCTATGTCTCTATACTTCATCTTGTCGTGTTTTGTTTAGGATCAGTTTGTTTTGTTTGCTGCTTTGTTCTTGATTAGCTGAAATTAATGTTCTCTTTCATTGCCAGGATTCTAGAACAGCATTACTTGTCTTGTTCTTGACAGTAGTTGGTTTGGTTATTGACTTTTCTTCTTCCCTAGTGTTATCAGCACATAGTGATACTGAGCTTGTGATGAAGGGGATTGCGCACGGTGCGTGCGACTATCTGTTGAAACCAGTTCGAATCGAGGAGTTGAAGAACATTTGGCAGCATGTGATTCGGAGAAAGAAGCTCGAACCGAAGACAAAAAACAAGCTCCCTAATCAAGATAACATTGGAAATGGAGGCAGTGAAGGTGAACAAGGTTTCTCATTAACCAGTAATGCGGACAATGCAAAACTCAACAGGAAACGAAAGGAACAAGACGATGATGAGGATGAAGAAGGAAAAGAGAACGAGGTTGATATCGACGACCCTTCGAACCTTAAGAGGCCTAGGGTAGTATGGTCGGTTGAGTTGCACCGGAAGTTCGTTTCGGCAGTTAATCAGTTGGGTCTTGAAAGTAAGTGAGTACTAGAAGCTATGTTAGTAAATTTGTGTTTCGTTATATGTAACGATTTGATTCACTCTTAACCAGAAGCCGTGCCGAAAAAAATTCTGGATCTGATGAATGTTGAAGGGCTTACTAGAGAAAATGTGGCTAGTCATTTGCAGGCATGTGGCTATAGCATCTTTTTACTTGACTGATTTATGTGTCTGCAAAGATTAAACGAGACGAAAACGAGATGAAAATAAGAGTGTTCGTGTTGTATTTGCAGAAATATAGGCTTTACCTGAAAAGAATCAGCAATGTGGCATCTCAACAAGCTAACATGGCTGCAACATTTGGGAGTAAAGAAGGCACTTACATGCGCATAGGTTCATATGATGGCTATGGAGATATGCATGGCTTTGCAGGATCAGGGTGGCTTCCAAGCTCTTCATTATCTTATTATTCACCTGTTGGAATGAGCCTGATCCAACAAAGCTCCCATAATTTGAACTGTGCTATCAGTAATCTTGGGAGCTTCCAACCAGCTATTATGTTGCCTTCTCATCAAGCTACTAATCTATTGCAAGGGATTCCGACGTCACTCGAGCTCGGCCATTTGCAGCACAGCAAGTCCACCACTTCCATTGGAGAAGCTTTTGACATAGACTTCGGCTGTTCGAGTTTTTTGGATCCTGATCCTTCTAATGGAAACTGGCAGGGAGCAGCACAATTGTTGAGATTCTCAGCAACTTTGAACCCGAATGAGGAGTATCCCATTGATCAAATGCATGCAATGAACTCGAGCATTTCCTCTGCCCCCTCAACGAACAGGAACATCTCGGTTGTTGGATCAGTTTCAGCTCCCTTGCTGGATTCAAGAGACCTGCGATGCCAGGCAGGGGTAGGGGTGGTTGACAGTATGCCAAAGCAGAGTTGGGAAGAGCACGAACACGAATACGCTCGATCCCCCTTAAGCCAGCGTTTCAATCAGAATAGTCTAGTTTGTGAGAGAAAGGTTGGTTCGTCTTTGATAGTCCCATCAAATGATGCTCAACTATCCTTCCCTCAGCACAGTGTGGTTGAAAAATTGGGTCCTAACACAAAGATGAATGCAGATAGAAACTTACACGATGGATCGATTCAAGGAAGTATCGAGTCCTTGGATGATATAATGAACGCGATGATCAAACAGGTATAGTCAAATTTCTTGCTAAATATTTAGATACTGAATCTGACATAATTATGTAGACATTCCTTTCTTTTGAATGGTAATGCTGTTACCATCTCTGTTATGTGTGTGTCAACTTGATACACATACAGATTGTCTTACTGCAACCAAGTTTGCCAAACTTGTGATTTTTCTCTGTAATGATATGAAACACTGCCATAATATTGTTCTCCGTTCGGAAATAGCTCGAAATCTTACCTCGTGAAAGCTCTAATCAGTTTCAAGTCACCCTATGAAGCTTAGTTGTCATAACATCCAAGCATTTATACTTCTTTTGATCAAGATAACTTGTTGTGTGCTTCATAAACAGGTCGAGTTTCATGGGCCATTTGGTCGTAAAATGCAGTAGTCGTCGATATTCGCTCGTGTTATGCATTTCTCATGATCACTTAAATGGAGATTTAGGTTCCATCTTTGTCTGCTCATCCATTTACTGATGCAAAACATATGGATAACGAAACAGCAGACTACACACTCCTTATCCTTGTGTTCATAAGATAATGACAGGACAGCATGTGTCACGATGGCTTTCGAGATGGTGTTCGTAATTAATGGAAAAACGAGCAAGGACACCAAAAATACCAAACGCAACCCCTTAGAGGTAAACTTGTTGAGTTTGAAAACTAAATACTCGAAAGTAATCTAAACCAATCGTCTGAAACGAGATGTGTAATTTTTTCAAATAAGGTAACTTATGTATATAATTTAAATATTCAAAATCATTAATCAATTAGTCTTGAAATTTGTTTATCTCATGAAAGTTGTTTTTCTGCTCACTTTCTTCCTAGTCTCTACCTAAACGATCTAATGAATAGGAGTCCGCTTTGAAATTATCCCCCTATATCTCCCGTATGCTTCAACCGGAATTAAACAAGGATAGATTGTTACAAGATAAACCTCTAGAAAAATGACTTGTAACCCAGTAAATAGTACATTACATAGTCCGTTTTAGGGATTAGCGAATTACCCATTTAGTGATTTTAGCACTGGATGTTCAAAAAATGGAAACTATCAGATCAGGTAAATTCAATAATAGACGTCATTTGGCAATTCTCGGCCTCAGTATCGTCTCCATGGAGAGAATGGACATCCCTATTCGTTTTTGCCCTCGGTCTACATGGATTATGGATTAGGTGCTCAAGTAACTATCACATGCTGTGCTGATTTACATAGTTTGAAAGTCATATTGCTCAATGGACATACAAAAAGAGCTCTTATTCTTCCTGTCATAGTCAAAGCCATAGGTCCTGAAAAGGAGAACCAATGCGTTTTATAGATGCAGAAAGGTTTCCTTTTTCTGTTCTGTTCTTCTCTTTTATGGTAGAGGGCGGATTAACGCCCCTATCCATTTTCCATTACAGAACAGAACAAGTTCCATCAAGAAGCTGTGGGGAAAATGCTGACCAAAAAAGTCTTGACAATTTGAAAAGCTCTACCACAGCAGAAAATTATTCTAAGAAGGCTGCTTCAACAGTTCTGCAATAATGTTGGGTTCTAGAAACCACCCATCTGGAAGTTTCTACTTTCATCTCAGCCATTCGGCCAGATGGGGACAGCTGAAAAGACCTTATAGATAAGCATCCACACAAGTAATCCTGTGTCTCTACAAATATGTTGTCCAGAAACCAACATTTCAGTGTGTTGTTTCACATTTGAAACGATGGCAAAGAAAGAGATGGAAGTGGTTAAAGGGTTGGATCTTGAGAAGTACATGGGAAGATGGTATGAGATAGCTTCAATTCCATCGAGAAATCAACCAAAGAACGGTGTGAACACAAGGGCTACTTATGCGCTGAAAGAAGATGGAACTGTGAAAGTGGTGAATGAAACTTGGAGCGATGGCAAGAGAAGTTCCATAGAAGGTGTGGCTTTTAAGGCTGAGCCTTCAAGCCAGGAGGCCAAGTTCAAGGTCAAATTCTATTTGCCTCCCTTCCTTCCAATCATTCCAGTTGTTGGGAATTACTGGGTTTTGTATATTGATGGTGATTATCAGTATGTCCTGGTTGGGGAGCCTTCAAGGAAGAATCTTTGGGTATGTTTTAAAATTTCACTCTCTCACTCCAAAGTTTCATATTGTGGGTTTTGTATACTGATGGTGTTTTTTTTGGTGCATTGTGCAGATATTGTGCAGAAATACTCATCTTAACGAGGAGATATACAATGAGCTGCTTGAAAAAGCCAAGGAATTGGGTTATGATGTAAACAAACTGCACAAGACACCACAGAGCGATCCTCCACCAGAAGGTGAAGGTCCCAAAGATACAAAAGGCATATGGTGGATAAAGTCCATTCTTCTGGGAAAGTAAACAGATCACAGAAGCTTATGTTTATAACATCAGAACCCTATCTTGCTACTCTTCTCATCAGTTGTGTAAAATGTTGGTTTGTGAGTACATATTATGTGTGTATCTCGGTATGGTCGTGCTTTAAATCGCACTCATGGTTTACCAATCATAAGTACAACTTGTTAGTAAGATCCGAACTCGTCTAATAAAAATGTGATTGCAAGAGGTAACTCGATCGACATTTATCAGCATTGATTAACATCAAGAGGGATCAATAATGAACATTCCATTGAAAATGGAAACAAGCATATGTGAACTAACACCAATGAAGAAAATGAGACGTCAATATACTATACGAGTAGGATCTACGCCCAACATTTTGTTCCCCCATCTTTTAAACAACAAACGAGGATAAAATTCACAAGATTCAGCGAAACAAACAAATTGTAAAGGATATAATCATATTACAATCATCAATTATCTGGTTCAACTTTCTATGTGATGCCATCAAAAGCTTACAGTATGGTACAACACTGGTTGGTCTTTTTAGCTTGTTTGTAGAACATCTGTTCAATCACAAGTGGGCTACAGTTAGGTAGGTTCTTAAGGAAATGGAAAAACGTCAGATGCTTCATGAATGTAGTTGTAACATTAGTTGAGAAGAATTCAAGAAATCTAACACATACTATTTTCTACTAGTTATGTACAATCGCATACCTGGGATGCTGCACTGAGATCAGAACTCTTCTCGACCAAACTGTCCAACTTTTCACCACGTTCAAGCACGCTGTCAATCGTCTTATGCTGTATTGGAAGATAGAAACATATCAGCATGAAAATTAATCAACCAGAAAACAGCAATGTAGCATACAACCCTGGAAGATATATATTAAAAGAACTTACAAGAATAATTTTGGTTTCGTCCAACTCCCGCTGTATTTTCAACAATTTATCAGCCTCTGCAGGGTCCTAGACAGTAAATAATAGAAAATGTTATAATCACTGGTTGAGGTCGGGGAATGAAGCCTGTAAATACGTTTCAAATTCGGTCATGCAATTATGTCTTAATTAAATGTAGAAAGGAGGGCAATAAACCTGGAATTTGGTTAAAGCTTCAGTCAGATAGGGCCATGGTTGAAAGTTATCTGCTTGTGCAGTTCTCCATGTTTCACCAAAATTTTTTTGGTACTCGTCCATAACCTGGTAGAAACCAACGTGCATCAACAATAGTTACAATCATACAGAGACAAAATACAAAAACTACTTTGATAATATACATATATATATATACTAAAAAAGGGATAAAATTATAGCTATGTATATGGATTAGGACTAAGATTAGCTCAAGTCAATGACCTTCGGTTTATCCACATATCATAATAATTCGGTACTATAATCATTGAAAATTTATAATAAGAGAATAAAACTAATCTTCATACTGCAATATGATGCTGACATTACTTGAGCCTGATGCAGTATTGTTCCAGTGAAGTTATTTAATCAGAAATCACTAATCCGACTATTAGTTTGTCTTTTTCTTAAGAAAAATAACTCGTCAATGCAAAATCCAACAAAATAACATAATTTTACATGAAAAGAAAGAGTGCTTTACAGCAATACATTTGTTAGATGTGAATAAGAGTGATTTTCACCTGGTTAAGCAGAGAGAATGCACTTCGAACCGGGTAGTGGTCATCCATAAATCCCAAAGCACAAAGACCATTTCTATTGTAACTATGCACCTTATACTCTACAAAATTTCAAATGATTCGTAGAAAATTCAATAACGTAGAACACAATTAATAGCTGAAGCTGGACAGGTATTAACTGGTAAACCAGCATTGCAGAAAATCTTTAACAGTGACTTAAAGGTAGAGAAGAACATGAAAGAAAGACAATTTGTCCTATTGAACAAAATAAGAAAAAACAAAACCTAAAAGAAGTGTAAGATATCAAAATCTTCTACGTAAACCTTACACTACAATTCAGATTTGAAGTTGTTACAAATTCCTCTCCTATAAATGACCAGACTCAATAGATCCCCTACACAGATTCAGATTGAATGAGGCATATGCAATTAACTGCATAAAGACACTAACAGGGCAAACATGATTTCACAAGAACATTCAGCTGACTGTCGACGCCCGCTTAAACCAAAAGTGGAAAGGGGATCATCATGGGGCATTTCTTGGTTTTATCGTCTCTTCGGGTATCATTTTGCCTCTTGTCACTTGAATTTCCACCACATCCTGTTCGTTTTCGCCTAAACTACAATCATACCACGTTCCCTCCAACTATTGGACTTTCTATCTTCCTATGATCTGATCAGCATACAAAATTCTGATTATGAGATTGATAAATAAATTTTTTTAAAAAAAAAACAAGGAAAACCCCAAAATCAAAAGCAAAACTCCAATTACAGCAATTAAGCAAGAAAAAGAAAAAAGTGCACAATCAGAAAGAACAATCCCAACACAACAATGCAAGCATAAAGGCAGAAACATGACCGTAACAGAGAACTAACAAATAGAAAAAAGAAAAAAAGAATAGACCTTCGTGCTGCACAGATTGACGCTGGTCAGGAGGGGTACGCTTAGCGACGGTGCGACCAACGAAGCAGATGAACTCCCTAACGCTGGGCCTCTGAAAGTAACCGAAATGACTCACATCAGCGGCGTTGGCCAATATAATCGGATCAGATCCTTCTGGGTGGCATTTCAAGACCAGCAACGCAGTGATCTTCATCTTCTTCACGAAACTCAACTCCCCCTTTCCCCTTCCCCTTCCCCTTCTCTCTCTCTCTCTCTCTAAAAGGGATGAGAAATCGAAAGCAAACAAAGAATCTGCAAACGAAATTCGTAATTTGTGAAACGGGATCTTATGATTCTTATGCGTGGGAATGTAACGCAACCGCAATGTGCCAATGCCAACGCGCGACAGCTCTCAGTATTAGCGACTTGGTTTGTAAATTGGGAGGTAAAATGGAGACGTAATCTGCTGCGGACCGGTTCATTTTAACAATCATTAACTGGTGACGTGGCAGAATATGAGTGCGCCGACATTGTTACCCCCAGATTGAATTAAAGTAGAGTTTGAAATAAAAAGAGAAAATTTATAATTTTTCTCGAAATTTCTATAATTCTTCTTTCATTTTAATTTCAAAAAGCATATAACAACAATAACCAACTTACCATTAATAGAAAACTATACCAACCACATGAGCAAAGAGCAGCCAACTTACCATTAATAGAAAACTATACCAACCACATGAGCAAAGAGCAGCCATGCGAATCAGTGTAGTTATGACATGAGTAGCCCAAAGCGTCTAAATCAGTGTAGCTATCAGTATACTAAATCAATGTAGTTATCAGTATACTAAATCAATGTAGTTACAACACGACAAGTATGAACTAGATCTTAACTTCTTGAGTTATGCTTTTTGTATGTATTCATATAATCATGCAAAACGAAGATAAAATATCATACGTTTAGCCTCTTTGTCTTAACCTACTGCGCGATGCTTTCTACATGAACGGATACAATGTCAGCACAAAAGTAGAGCTAAGAGGCATTATTAAACTAAAATAACAAGAACAAGAAAATGCAAGATAAAGAGGGGAGGAAAATGGGATCTATCTCATTCATTTATGTCAAAAAGTGGTTGAACTTTGAGAATGATACATTTTTCAAAAAATGCATCTCAACGTCATTGTAATGTTAGTAGGAAACTGAATATAGCACAGTTCTAAGACTAAGATGGTCCTAAAACAAGCATGACATGTTCCTCAGTCGAACGCTCTCCAACGAATTCGAAGGTAACAATCATACAGTATGTCTAAACGCATTCTAAGCCGCTTTCGGTAATCGATTCAATGTTACTGTCTTTTGCTAGTAGTATATACACAAAGCCTTTAAAAAAGATGCTCCTGAAGATGATGATAATATGGTTACAAAATAATGTATATCGACTAAAAGAGAGATGAGGTCTTCATTGGTACCACGAATGGGACTCGGAGGCGATCTGAGCCGGGCGGTGGGCGAAACGGACAAGCCTCTTTGTCATGGAGCTTCCCTTGAAAGAAAGAAACGCCACAGATTACAACCAAATATATTCTTTGTTTCAATCATTAACTACTAATCCACCTTCGTTTCCGAGCAGGTCGTTCTGGTTTGATCTCTGAATCTGCAGGAGCGTCGCTTTTGGAAGAAGGCAGTGCTTCGTTCTCGATCTTTTTTATCACCAAAGCCTCTTTATCACTTGGCATTGGAAGCTTGAAACGCTCGCTTCTCTTCTTCAACTTTTCGACCGTGTCCATATGTTTATCCTCCAATACTTTTGTATCAGAAACGCCAGTCTTCAACTCCGGATCGCCGCTGTCTTTCTTTTCTGCTAAATTGTGATTGTCAGCAGCCTCAACTGCTGCCGCCTTCATGGAGTCATCTGGGTTTTTGCTGGCTTCTGAAGATCCACCACCATTGTTGTTCTCAGTTTCTTTAGACGGTAATGAGGATGATGACTTACTGTTGATATTGAAATCTCTCTCTTTGTGACTTGTCCAACGTTCTAACTTTGATCGCCCGCGCTTAGAATCTTGCTGCTCGTCTTCTGAGGAAGCATCATCGGTATGTTTTCTGGACCCGTGATGGTGAACTGAATGCTCCCGATCGCCACGATCATCAGAGCCTTTCAAGACCTAGAGTGAATCAATTTCAAATAAGGAGAGAGAGAGAGTCAAGACTTCAGGCATCCCATTATGTCAAAAATGAAAAGCCAGTTTCAATTTCTAAAGAGATAGTATTTCCATTTCTATAAAACAAATCAATAAAAGGAAACATACCATCTGACTCCTATAATTGTTTTGGTTCTCTTGGCTTTTCTTCGAAGGACCTAAAGCGTTATGGTCGCTGCCATCGACATCTCTGTTCTTCATCTTGCTGTCTTTGTGTCTCTTATCGTGTATTCTCGGATTATCAAAAGCATTAACAGTATGTCTTTCAGTACTAGACTTTTCCAGCCTAGATCTTCTGTCCTCGGTACTGGGTGGATTTCGACGTGAATAAGCATCCTCGCGTCCTCGACGAGAACTTTCATCCTCTATTCTATCCCTCCTCTTATTTTGTTCACCGTGACGCACGACATCTTTTCCTTGGTTCTCCTTTTCAGAAACTTTGTTTTCATCCTTCACCCTAACGTGGCTCCCCCAAGATTTCTCTTCTGCGCCATGCCCACTCCTGACAGAGCTCCTTCCTTCGTCTCTATCCCGCTTTGATGGATTTTCCTCACGAGATTGTTTCGGTCTATGCCAATCCTCCTTATCCCTCGGCCTATCACTCCTTTCTCTTTGCAACCACTCCTCTTTGTGCCCTACAGAGTGGTGATCACCAATGTTATCTCTAACTCTCAGCAGCTCATCTCTCTTTTGTGGTTCAAAGACTTCATCTCGTTCCCGTTTACGGTGGCTTTTACTATCTCTCTTACCGTGCAAGATTTCATCCTTGTCTACATGATCTCGCCTCAGATGTTCTGAATCTTTCCGTTTCTTGTTATAATAGCTATCCAAATTTTCATATCTACTCTTCAAACTGTCATCTCTTTCCCTATGTCTTGAGCTAGCACCTTTATCGTAATGAACCCTATAATTTCCGTTATCTAACTTCTTAGTTAGATGGCGGTCGTCTTTATCACTTCTCTCAATTTCACGAATTTTGCCCCGGTGCCTAGATCCTGTGTCATCATCATACTCTCTCTTTCTTGTATCTTCAGTTTTTGTTTTTCGGTAATAAGGATCGTCATCTCTTCTTTGCCAAGCAGCTTCAGCATTACTCCTCTCCTTTCGCCTATCGAAACCATCAGTTTTCAAAGGATGTTGATGAGCTAAGCTAGGATCCCAGTCTCTGCACGCATAAGCATCCTTCCTCCCCTTGACATCCATTTGGTTCCTTTCATCCTGTTTGTCATCACCATCTTTTCTTCGAAAATTCTGTTCATTTTCATCAATGTACTTCTTGACGCTCCCCATGCTTGATGAGCGTCTATTTTGAAATACTTCCTCCTCGACCCCATCCTGCCATTTATGACAATCCCTGCTGCTCCCTGATCTTGTTTTTCTATTTTCACTACTTGCAGCCTTTGAGTCGTTGTCGTCGTCGTCTTTGAGCACCAGTGGTTCAACTATAGGACCCAATTTCTCATCATTCTCCATTACTTCGCCATCTCTATCACTTTTATTAGAATTGCTGGTAGTAATGAAATTCACATTCTCCCTATCTATTTCAGTATTCCTGTCAGCCTCAATGAGCTCATCATGTTCAGCATCCTTGTCCTCGGCACTAGACTCCTGGGTAGCCTCAACCATTGCAGGAGATGACTCATGTGGACTACGCTTACCATTCATACTTCCAACAGATCCTTCCTCTCGACTGTCGGAAGATTTCCCATCTCGTAAGTTCGGTATTGGAGAATGAGGGGACTTATTATATGTTCTACCCTGTGGCCGCCTGTACTCACAAAAGGAGAGAAATAAGAAATTCCTTCAGATTCTTCAATGCTGAGCTAAGAAATACCCAGAAAGGGGAAGGAATCAAGGTTTTCAATCAAAATGCGTATGGGGAAGGTTTCCACACCCTTTTATTTGGTGGTTTGTTCTCCTCCCCAACCAATATTGGACATCACAGCACCTAGACTACTTTTCCTAGAGCATAAAAAAATAATAATAAAGCCCACATAGCTGTTTATTATGTGAACAATGAGCCTGAATAGAACTATTTAACAATCTGTAATTGCAATATGGCATATATTGCCACCTAAAAGTACTCCAACAAACTTGGAAAATCATATAATCCAAGCTCAAGTGTGCCTAACTCAAAACTCAAATGTCATACGCATTCCGAGTTGTAAAATATGATAAAAAGACAGACCTCGTTATGCAGTGTGTATGACATTTAATCGCTATCTATCCAGAGCAATTAAATAAAAAATGGTTCAAACTGAATACTGCTATTCTAAACTAGGTAGACATCCTGAATGATTGATATTAAACAAAGGGTTCTTACCTTTCGTCGTTAATACCCAGATTCTGAGCAGGGTAAGCAGGGGTATGGCCTCTAGACGTAGCATAGTGTCCTGGTCCTTCTGAAGGGAAAGGCAAACTCACATCTTCACGTATGTTGTCAGAAGCAGAATTCATTGAAGCTTTTCTTCTTCCAGCCTTTTCCCGCATTTCACTATTATGAGTTTCTGAAAAATTGTCAGGATATTCAGTATCGCTATCATGTGCATTGTCATCCTCAGCTTCATGGACTTCTTTGAAATCCTTTCTTGACAGATCATCATTCTGTTGGTTCGGGGTGCAATTTCCTGTGGAGGAATTATCATCCAAAGAGTCCTGCAAGACAATCTATAGAACCAAATGGCTGAAGTTAACTTTTAATTCGGATTATACGACTAATATTAGTTTGCACACGTAAGACGATAGGTCATTTTGCTTGATAACAGGATTTGATCAAATACCTCAATTATAGCATCAGAGTCACGAATCCTGGGAGGTCTAGTATCAATTGAGGGTAGACGTTCACCATAACCACCTTCGACCTGTATTGCTCTGCCAGTAGGCTGGGAAGGAAAAGTTTAACCATTGAGCTTCAATGTCGGAACAATGTAGAGTCTAAGCTACCCCACCCACAGCATAAAGATCCAAGAAAGCAATGAATAAAAATCAGAAAAAGTATTGACTAAAAAAAAAATAAAAGAAGACAATCATATGGACAGAGGAAAGGATTACAAGTTCACAATTGTGCACTCGAGGAGCGTGTTTCTCCCAACAAATGAAGCTACTTGCTACCTTTCTCTCCTTTCCAGACGACGTACATACTAGCACTAATACAAAAGAGCCCTGTGTCTCTCACAAAACCCCCCAAGAGACTTTTTCCTGTAT